CCCCATACCAAGTATAAATTTGACCCTTTTGTAAACCCGATTATACCAAGATGAATCCTGCACGATAACGATATTGACCTGATAGCAATACAGGAAACCCATGCAGAAAACAAAGCCCAACTAGAATCAAGAGGAAAAAATTCTGGGTATGACCTACTAGGAGCCACATATGACAGAGTATACGGCGTTGCAACTTATGTGCGAAACGATGTAGAGAACGTTGTCCTTCTTGATACCTCCACTCAAAATAACATCCACCAAATGACCATCAAAATTGGAGCAGTTACAGTTGTTAATATCTATAAACAGCCGCTTGGAGACGGGAGTATAACCCGGATCTGTGCTTTGTATCGAGGGATGAGAATGATAGGCCAGTCGCAACTTCTAGGAGTGTTCTATGGGGAATTATAATGGGGAATAACAGGAGCAAAACTATGAAACTGAATGACGGTCTTCCTCAGGGGTCGGTTCTTGCCCCCATACTCTTCAGTCTATACATCGCGGACATGCCTGCAACTGAATCACGAAAATTTGGTTATGCAGACGACTGGACATTGGCAACGGCGCACAGGAGGGTGGAGGATGCTGAAGTTGTACTTACCAGGGACATAGCAACCATTAGCAAGTATTTTAAAAAATGGAGACTCCAACCAAGTATCGTAAAAACTGAAGTATCTGCCTTTCATCTTAATAATAAGATGGCAAAGAGAGAATTGCGAGTGTACATGGACAACAAACTACTCACTCACAATAAACATCCAAAATATCTCGAGTTACTCTGGATAGGACGCTTACATTTAAAGAACACTTGACAAGAATGACGGCAAAGTTGAGAACACGTAACAACATACTTCAAAAATTATGTGGCACAACTTGGGGCTCATCAGCATCCACCCTGAGATCCTCTGCGCTGGGTTTGGTGTATCCTGTAGCAGAATACTGTGCTCCAGTGTGGCTTAATAGCAAACACACCCGTATGGTTGATACTCAATTAAACCAAACTATGCGCACTATATCAGGGACAATTCGACCAACACCTACAATATGGCTGCCCACTCTTAGCAACATAGCTCCTCCCAATTTGCGCCGAGAACATGCCTTGGTCAGAGAGTTTACTAAAATAATGAATAACCCTCAGCTGCAGGTCCACGATGACTTACCACACATCCAGGGAAATCGACTACGATCAAGACACCCTCCATTGAAGACTGCACATGAGCTGCACCAAAATAATTTTGATATAAATGAGCGATGGGGAGAGAAATGGGAAAATGAGGCAGCTCCAATGTACCATGGTCTACCGTACGTTATTAATGAACCTGCAGGATTCGACCTTCCCCTTCGAACATGGACAACTCTTAACCGCATCAGAACTAACTGCGGAAGATGTGCCGACTCTCTAAATAGGTGGGAAAAAGTCCCTTCAGCCGCATGCGACTGTGGAGCTGACAGGCAGACTGTCAAACATATAGTGCAAGACTGCCCAATAAGAGTATATATATATATAGGCAACTCAGAATATTTCCTTATGGCTACTCAGGAAGCAGAGTCTGGCATACAAAAAGCAATACAAAGTCTGGATATCTGTTTATGAGACGAATTAGCCTATTTTTTTGTTGTGTATGTTTTTTTTCTTTGTTTATGCATTTTTTTTTGTCTACATATTTTTTTGTTGTTTGTGCAGTTTTTTTATATACATTTTTTTGTTGTTTATACCATTCTGTGTCCTATAACTTAAGATACTGTGATGTAAGCCATACGCTAAATAAATAAAAAAAAATAACCAAGATGATGTTCAACAATACGTGTACGTTTTAGATCTTATTATCTATTATAATATTATATCTTTATCACACAAAATAACCATTAATTAGTTGATCAAGATCTATCTAATAGTTTAAGGTGCTGCATAAAAAATTAGTTTCGATTTGTTAATCTGTAACTATAGATGAATCACTTTTCTTAATGAAATAATACGTTCACTACCCTTTTTTAAATGCATCAAATATCAATGTATGCAATCCGAGTTACATATGAGATAATATCGGCTGTCATTGGATACAATTATACCGCACTATTACAGGCTACATAAAAAAGATAGCGCGAATCAGATTACATTACAGAAGTAATGCGAATGTAAGTCTTATCAACTAAGTGATCTTACTAAATTGGAATATTATGAAATATTACTGCATATTTCCTTGTTGTTCGTGGTAACACTATATAGGAAGTTGTAAGTAATGATATAATATACTTTTTCAATTTACAATTCTGAATTTTTATTAGCATTAATTAATATAATTACATATTTATAAAAAAAATATGATTTCATATTTAATGTCATTTGTGAAACTATTTTTTTTCCTATACATATTGTTTTAGTATGTAAAATTTCTGATTATGTATAAATGAAAGAAAGTGTGCTGATTACATAGGTATTACGCTTTTTTGAAAATTATGCATTTAAAATTATTTTAATATGAAAATCGAGTTCGTAAAATTAATTTTCTTCTGATTTATATTTAAGAATGCTAGAAAGTAATGTAAACTTGCTGTGTTATAGTTAAATGCTCTCAAAATCGCCACTATTTATTGTAATTGTGAAAACATCATTATTAAAGTAAGTCAAACGAGACGATACATGACAGTGACAGTTACAGTATCATTTTAATTCATAGAAAAAGAGAAAAAGTGTATTTTCTGTGACTTTTGGTACGTTGTCTGTAAGAATCTTCTCTGACTTTAATAAGAGGTTAATAAACGCTGAGAAAAAATATTCTGCCTTTTATTATGTACCATCTTTAGAATATATTCTCTATACAGGGTGGAACTGTATTCCGGAAACTTCGGCAGCATTTTCTGCAGATAAAAAGAGTAAAAAAGTTCGTATAAATGTATGTCCTAAAATGCTTAATTTTGGAGATTACTTTTGGAGAACTTTTTTTACTTATTTTTATCTGCAGAATATACTACCAATCCTATCGCAACCAAAGTTTTCGGAATACAGTTCGGACCACCCTGTATATAGTTTTTAACGAATAAAGAGAAGTTGGGATTGATTCAATAAACAATTTACAAGTTTTTTTTTTTTTTTTCTCAGGGTTTTTTTTTTCTCAGGGTTTCTCAGGGTTTCTCTGTACCTTATATATAACTGCCGAGTAAAAAATATACATTTTTGACATTTTTACGTAAAACTGGTCTTAATTTTAATACTTCAGCAGGCACTTTTCAGGTCGAGGGTCTTTACGAGTAATGGTTCTCGAGATATTTGGAATCTAAATTATCAAACCTATCATAATTGACATAAATTAAACATGTTGACAAAATAGTTATTAGACTGAAATCATCAATTTGAAATATTTTTGTGTCCAAAATTCAACAAGTGTTTTATCGTCATTTTCTCGCAGAACAGTTTATCATTAATTTTAAAAAACAAAAATTTCCCAAAATTATTATTTCAGTCGAATAACTATCTACTCAACGAGTTTATTTTTTGTCAATAATGACATGTATTGACTATTTCCATTCTAAATATCTTTAAAACGGTTACTCGTAACGATTTTTACCAAGAGACATTTTACGTAAAAATTACCGAAATGTATATTTTTTCACTCAGCAGTTTTATACAGGTACAGACGAAAAGTTATTACTTAGTTAAAGTAGTAAAGTAAATAGTTATTACTTTATTTTACTTAAAACTCATAGTGAGTTTCGGAGATTTGAATCCATGTAATTTCTTCATTACAATTTTGTATCCATTTCCAAATATATCACAGTCAATGGTATCTGCGAATTGTTTTCCAACAAATCCTTTTTTCAGCTTTTTTTTTATAGAATCTCTAAGTTTTTTTCTTTTTGGACTTTATATTCGTCCCAAAGTTGGGTAGAAATGTGCAAACTTTGATGGGAGTGTCTGGTATAGTTTCTTCTCATTTTGATACATTCTTTCCTTAGTTTGGCAATGTTGTCATTCCACCAATATACTGGTGGCCCTCTTTGACACGTTCTTTTCTTTGGCATTGACTTATTGCAGAGCAACTTTAAATTTTCTGAGAATGTCGTTGGAGAGATGTCCTTTACGTCAATCTTTTAAAAGGGCATTTATTAATCTTACTTAGTTAAAACACATGTAGGTGGTGTCCTTTATAAATAGGAATCATATTAACACCAAAATCAAATTTCTCATATCAAAAAACTCCTATCAATTTTCATCCAAATCATTCACGTTACTTCAGAATTATTTGGAAAAATTCGAAATAAAATATGAAACTTCTACAACCTGTATCTCTGGAAACTAAGCATTTTAGGACATACATTTATACGAACTTTTTTACTTATTTTTGTCTGCAGAATATACTACCAAAGTTTCCGGAATACAGTTCGGACCCCATTCTGTATATACTTTTTTAATTAATAAAGAGAAGTTGGGGTTGATTCAATAAACAATTTACAAGTTCAATGTTTAAATAAAACAACGTTACTTAAGATAATATTTATTATAAATATTTTAAAATAGATATATACATGGTGATTTACTTAAGCTTAAATTAGAGTTATGAATTAATAGTAACAAACATGAAGTACTTACTATTTATGATGAATGATGAAATGGCATGGTTTTTGTAATATGAGATGAAAGTAATGCTATATATGTTTTAAAACAATATCTTCAAGTTGTTGTTACTTGCATAATGCAACCCCCGTTATTTAGTTAGGGTGAGTCTTAAATAAATTTAAATATGTTTAGGGATACTATATTTCGATTTTTTTCGCCAAAAAAAAATCGAAAATTTGGAATTTTTGAAAAAAAATTGGATTTTTTTTTAGTTTTTAGTTAAAAACATATCACATATAAGATCACATATAAGATCCAGTGGTTCTTAACATTTTAACAAAAAATTATTTTTTTTTTGGAAATTTTCAAAGTAAAATAACTCGGTTATTTTGTTTGTTTCTTTTATCGAGATCTACTAGCCCTGAAAATATTTGCACTTATTTTTAAGACTCACCCTGTATATTATTTTGTAAGAAAATTGACTGTTTTACATATTATATACACACATATACTAATTCTATATGATATGAAATGTAATACCGTACGATCAAAAAGTTTTATGATCAAACGCCATTTGACACTGACAGTTCTCATAAGAATTGGTCATTATCTGTCATTATCTAAAACTGTCTTTGTTATAAACCTTTATGACCACACTGTATTTACATGAAATGAATTAAATGATGTGAATACAATAATTAAATAATATATTATAAATAAAAAGAACTTATCCTATTTTCTTTTTTACAATAAATTTAGATCTGAAGGTTTTATAGTTACAAGGAAGGTAAGCATTTTCATATTTGTTATTAACCTCCAAAAACTCTAAGCAAAGTCATCATCATTTTTTTGGTGTAGGGGCAGAATCTGTACATTTTCATGCAGTCGTGGGGGTAAGTAACTGACACCCCGTTATCCAAGGCTTCTCTCAATTCTTGACCTGCGTATGATGATTCATCATCAGCTGCCATCCTTTAAAATAAAAAGTATGTTAGATATGAGTAAGATCACGTCAAGTGGAGCCCCCTTTTCCCACTTGGTTATGGAATTTTATTTAATATATACCTGGTGCGTCTCAGAAGTGGCCCACCCCTATAACTTTTTTATTTTCTCAGATAAAAAAATGAGATTTGGTATGTCAGTATTTGATATAAATTACGATTGATTGACTTGTATTCAATTATTTTCGGTCACTTCCTGTTTCACCGGATTTGACCACATTTTATTTTTAAATGGCACCCTCGGTATTTTGTTACTTTATTCGAGAGAAAATGACAATCTGAATGACATATCATATGTCAATTTTGACATTTCCGAATATGGTATATTTGAAATTGCAACGTGCGATTCATAACGAAAATTTGACTCGAAATAGCAAGTGTGTGGTACCAAATTATTAGTCAAAAATGCTTTTTCCAAATATGCTAACGAGCCACCCTCGTTCCATTCGAAATAATTGAGATATGATTAAAAATACGATTTGGACATCTTTTAACCGGCCAGGACAAGAGATGAAAAACATTAGACGATCAAATCTATTTTTCCAAGGCTCCTTGATGAAAAATGAGTATTTTTAACATAGCCATGGCACTCTAGATTGAAATTTAAAATACAATTTTGTTTTAAGCGAAAATGTTAAAAGTTGACATATTATAATATATGTCATTATATTCAGAGTGTGATTTTCTATCGAATAAAGTAAAAATATACCGAGGGTGCCATTTAGAAATCAAACGTTGTAGTCATCACCGGTGAAACAGGAAGTGGCCGAAAAGAATTTAATACGTCAATCAATCCTAATTTATGTTATATATTAACATACCAAATCTCGTTTTTTTATTTGAAAAAAAAATAAAAAGTTATAGGGGTGAGCCACTTTTGAGACGCACCCGGTATTAATGTTGAGTAGTCACGACTAGTAATCGAACCCTGAAACAGTCTTTTAAAATTTTTATTTTAACAAAAAAAAATGTTATAATGAAATTTTAGTTTTTTAATTAACACTTTTATTTAATAAATTTATTAAAAAAGAACCGTTACACATATCTTAATGACATTTTCAGGATATATTGCTTAATCATCGTATTTTGAAAAAATATTCCAAATTTAAAATTATTAATTAATTACCATATTGATAATTAACTTTTAAATAAACAAATGAAAAATTTAATGACTTCTCGGTCGAAAAAAAAATTGTTTTTTAGTTACTATGCACTGTTTATTAAAGTTTAATATTCCGAAAGAAAATTTGACTGCTCGTTATTAGTTTAAACAATATAAATTTATTTATGCCGTGTGACGCCGAGCGCTAGCAATAAACACCGCACTGGCATGCCGATGCCGCGGCCGCCCGGTCCGTACGTACCTATAACACTAAATGTAGGGGGCGCCACCTATATGTTTTTTAACTGATTGGAAGAGCAATAACTTTTCATCCGTACCTGTTTAAAACTATTGTCGGAAAAAATACACATTTTCGTAATATTTTACTTAAAAAATATATCTTGCTAAAAATCGCTACGAGCAACCGTTTTCAAGATATTTGGAATAGAAATAGTCAATACATGTTAATATATTATTTGACTGAAATGATAAATTTGGGAACTATATAATTTTTTAAACTAATCATGATTTTTTCTAAAAAATATGATAAAATAGTTTCCGTTGGGCACAAACACATTTCAAATTTAATATTTCAGACTAATAACTATCCAGTCAACATGCACAATTTTTGTCAATTATTATGACATGTATTGACTAATTTCTTTTCAAATATCTTGAGAATCATTACTCGCAACGGTTTTTAACAAGAGACTTTTTTACGTAAAAAATGACGGAAATGTATATTTTCCGTTCAGTAGTGTATACAGGCACGAGCGAAAAGTTATTCAGTTATTCTCTTCAAAAAAGCTAAAAAATATGTAGCCCCCTACAAGTTACAACAATTATTCCCCGTCCAGATTAGCCTTAGCAGTAAGGTGGTGTTAACTCAAAGTACTTTTTAGGGTGTGAGGATTGATACGTCTATGTCTTTCTTGTAAGCCTATAGAATGTGGTGTCCCTCAGGGTTCAGTACTTGGCCCTATTTTGTTTCTGGTGTTTATCAACGACATTGCAAATCTAGACATTAGCGGTAAAATCTACCTCTTTGCGGACGATACTAGTTTCACTTGGAGCGGCCCAGATGTTACGGCACTATATAATACTATATCCAGTGACTTACGCACCATTAAATCTTGGTGCGATTCTAATCTCCTATGCCTAAACCTATCAAAAACTAAAGTTTTGTCATATAAAAGTACAAACCTTTTGTACTTAATAACACCCCTATTGACGTCGTGGACTTGTTGTAGACAACTCGTTAAAATGGGACTTGTACATCGAAGCTTTATCAAAGAAACTAAGCGCTACCTGTTTTACGCTAAGAACTAAGGAACCTAACTTATCAACCTCTAGAATAGCCTATTATGCCCTTTTTGAGACACATCTCAAACATTGCTCAGAATTGCCTGGACTGCCCGGCGAACCAATGAATCCATAATCCAAGAACTGAACATCACAGAACGCCTGTCAACTTCTATACAGTCACGTATACTTAAATACTTCGGTCACGTTATGAGGAGGGATACTGACTGTATGGAAAAAATCATTATACAGGGCAAGGTTCCGGGAAGAAGACCGAGAGGCCGCTCGCCCTCCCAATGGATAGACCAGCTATCAAAGATCACCCACAGGTCACTGCGCACGCTTGTACACACTTGTCACAAGACAGGGAATTATGGAGACAAACCTCCCACATCACCTGAACTCTACATTTCTCTTGTAGGAATAAAGACAGACAGAGAGACACACATCTTCGTTATGCCTTTTCATTCTGGGGTACTTGCTGCGCAACAAAATTTGATCGTATTTTCAAACTTCAAAAGAGAGCAGTTTGGTATTTATTGGGACTGAACAGCAGAACTCACCGCCAGAATTTCTTTAAAAATTTCAAAATACTGACTCTTCCTTCTTTATTAATTTTTGAATCTGTTTGCTTAATCCGCAAGCACATATCTGCTATTCCCGAAAGGCCATCTCACAACTATCCACTTAGAAATAGTTATGAGCACGATCTTTATCTGCCAACCCCGAGTTCAGAACTAGTTAAAAGGTGAATACTGTACAATGCCAAAAAAATGTACAATCATCTGCCTTTGAATATCAAGTCGCTTTCATTCTTTCCCGCATTTCGCAAAGCTCTGAAATCATACTTACTGGAGAGTCCTATATGCGGTGAACGACTTTTTTGTCGATGTTTAATCATGAACTATTTTGAATTTTTGTAATTTTGATCATCTCACACATTGGTTAAAGGTCTAGTGTTTATGCTGTGTAACACCAAAGGTTCCAACCCCCAATTGTAAGTCTAGTGTTTAATATTTAATATTTTATACCTCTTACATACATGATTATATCCATTTACAATTTTCCTGCTGTAAAATTTTATTGATACACCTCTTTTTGTGTTCTACAATGTCCATGTATGTTTTATTTGTAATTTTAATGACGTAAATTTTTTGAATTGATTTGTATTGTAGGATATATTTTATTATTAGTATATTTTTTGAACTTTTGTTTGATTTGTAAATGCTTTGTCGATGAAACTATTTTGACTTTTTGTACAATAAAACGTTATATATTTATTTATTTACTTTATTTACTTACTTTGTTAAATTTAAGATGATTTTCTCTTCTCTGGACAACTCCTCCTCCCTCGAGGCCTGCAGCTGGCATATGAAGCTTCTCGCGCAGCTGACCGGATCCCTTTTAATCACCACGTCCCAATTGATATGCGGCTTGGTCTTGGCTGCTTCCGTCACAGACCTCTTAAACACTTTCAGTTCGTCATCTAAGAAAGCGCCAGAACTTTGACGATTTTTCGGGACATTTGCTTTCGTTTCCCACTTACTGTTATAGAGCTTGTCTCCTCCGCCGCCTCCGCCACCACCAAAACCGTGGCCGCCGCTTCCGAATCCGCTCTGGACGATGGTGTGGAAGTCCTGGGCCAGGGTGTGCACCATCCAGAGGCCTGCCAGGCCCATGCCTGCCATGAGGATGACCCTCATGAAATTGTTGGCCTTTGCGAGGCCTAAAACGATGCTCAGGATAATCAGTCGAGCCCAGTTAGTCATCTGTAAGGATAAACATGAATAAGTTCGGGTATTATGTAAAAATAAAAGTTGGATTCCAATAAAAATTGCTTCTTAATATACAGGGTGGCGCACCTCATTCGCCTCGGTTGATTATACGAAAACGGAAAGATGTAGAAACAAAATATTTTAGGGGTATATGTGGGGAGACAATGTGCACAATTTAATATTATTTTGAAATATACAGGCTGTTTCAGAACTAAGATCCATACCAAGGTTATATTTTTTCTTATGGAACACCCGGTATTTTATTTCATTTTTGGATTCTTCGGCCCAAAAAAAGGTATTTATTATAAGAGTTAAATATGTTTAAAATCTTTGGTTTTTGAAATATTTAAAGATATTTAAATTTGCATGCTACAATAGAATAGATTATTAACACCCTGTACATTACTTTTCAGAATTAATTCTTATGCTGAGTTTAGAGGTAGAGAAATAAACTTTACAGAAAAATGGTATTAGTTCCTTAAATTTATACAGGGCTATCAAAAGTTGCTGATCTATTTTAAATATATATTTTATATAAAAACTTTGTTATTTCAAATGTAATACCCTGTATTTTTTTAAATAAATCGAAGCACATTCAAATGCTCTTTCAAACTATATTAGGGTTTCCTATACCTATCTAGCTAGCTCAGATTTTAAATAAAAAGCGATTTTTAAATAAAATTGTAATCAAGATGGCTGGTGTCGCCATGGCAATTTTATAGTGACAGTAACTATTTTCAAAGTCGACATTAGTTTATGGACATTATTATTTATAATTTATAACAGTTTACTTAAATTTACCCATAATAGTTTAATAAGTAAGTATTCGTTATTTAATCAAGAAAAATAAAGCAGTATCTGCTGGCGGAACGAATAGATATGTTACTAGTGATATTATTTTGTGAGGAAAATTGCTTCTTAGCCTCAAGGGCTTATGCTCAAAGATATCCAAATAGGAATCTTCCTGATAAGAGTTTCTTTGAAAAACTATTTCCTATTTCGCCTGCTGGTGTGGTTTATAAAAAACCTATTATAGTAAACGCCACGAATGTTTGGGAGTGATTCATCAATCGCTACCATGTGAACTAATCTGTTCAAGGTCACATAAAACTTAATTCCAGTGCCGTGGTGTTTCAAGTCATATAATAATCAATATATAAACTCTTGTAATTTGTTGTTTTAACTGTCAAAGTCGTGTCAAAACATATATTTGGATATAAATATAAACTGGAATGCCCCATTTGTCGCACTGCAAGCACAGCAATGGACTGACGCACAAAAACGAATCAATCAAAGAAACGCGATATAGTATCGTCTTTGTCAATCACGCTCACATTATAGAATAAGTAGGAGGAGCGCGTGCAGATGATTAGACCGGGCCTTTAAAAACCTACGTCTGCGGTAAAAATTTATGTTTTTAATGTAAAAATGGTAGCGCGCGTGTCGATTTTAACTTCATCAAGCAATGAATCACTCCCAAACATTCGTGGCGTTTACAATAGGCAGAAACCTATCGTTGGAAGTGAAGAAAATGAATTTGCCCTAATTGGCTCTTTTATAGAAAATCCATGCATCTAAAAATTCTACACCCTGTATCTCCGAAACTAAGTATTTTAGGACATACATTTATACGAACTTTTTTACTTATTTTTATTTTCAGAATATGCTGCTGAAGTTTCCGGAATAGAGTTCGGACCACCCTGTATTATAATGTCTTATTATTAAATTTTTAATATTAATTGTGAATTATTGATATAAAACCAAATGTGTAAGATCATGGGCCTGATGAATAAAGAGAAGCAATTGCTTTTTCTATAGAACTATCTTTGTTGGTTGTTTACAAATTGTATAAGTCTATTTCAAGAAATTTGAGTAAAAGCATTTGCTTAACTTTTATTCATAAGACACCATGTCTCGATATAGGATATGTTTACGTTATTTTACTTGAAGTAATAAAAATATAGATGTAGCATATTTTAACAGAAAATTAAATATTTTTTTTTAGTCAAGGAAAAAACTAAAATATACCGAGTGCGTCTCTAAAGTGGCTCACCCCTATAACTTTTTTATTTTTTCAGATAAAAAAGCAAGATTTTGTATGTTAGTATATGACATAGATTAGGATTGATTGACATATTCAACTGTTTTTGGTCGCTTCCTGTTTCACCAGAAATGACTACACTCTTGGTATTTTTTTACTTTATTCGATAGAAAATGACACTCTGAATAGAATGACATATCATATGTCAAGTTCTGACATTTTCACAAATGGTTTATTTGAAATTGCAACATGCGGTTCATAACCTCAATTTGACTCGAAATACCAAGTGTATGGTACCAAATTATTCGTAAAAAATACTTTTTCCAAATATGCTAATGAGCAACCCTTGTGCCATTTGAAAAAATTGAGATGTGATTAAAAAACGATTTGGACATTTTCTAACGTGCTATATGATAAGACACGCAAAAAAAAAGACGATCAAATATATTACTTCATTAAAAATTAGTATTTTTCACTCGAGACCGAAATTTAAAATACGATTTTGTTAAGCGAGAATGTCAAATGAAAAAAAATACCGAGGGTACAGGTATTCATTTCCCGTGAAACAGGACGTGACCAAAAACAATTGAATACGTCAATCAATCCTAACTTATGTCATATACTATCATACTAAATCTCGTTTTTTTTATCTGAAAAAAGATAAAGTTATAGGCTCGGTTATAGGGGTAAGCCACTTTTGAGATGCACTCGGTATATTTTAGTTTTTTTCCTTGGTTTTCTTCATTGTACATTTTTGAATGTGGGTAGGTAACTGATGAGTTACGTATCTGATGAATAGGTCCTCGACAATTTAGATTTAGGAAAAGTCAAACTTTTAGTACACCATTGTGGCGATAACGTGAAATAAATGACATAACATATGAGAAAATTCGAATAGATATTATTTAAGCCCGGAAAACATTTCCTACAACTAGATTATTTTCTAAGACGCCGACAAGTAGGTATCAAGGCGTAAATATAGTAAAGCTGGAACTAGTTACATAAAACCCATAATTACACTTGCATATCTCTCAAATTTCTCCGACCGAACATGTTTTATCAATTATTAATTATTTTTAAGGCAGCATACAGGGTGTTACTGCTTGTCATATATTTAGCTAAATTAATTGCTTTTTATTAAAAATGTATTCTTGTTGTTATAAAATGAACTTAAGTGGTGCAAAGTACGGTATGATCGAAAAAAAATGACGTCAAGACGGCTGGGAAATGACAATCGATGGTAATTTTGACGAGGTCAATTTCTAGACGTCATTTACTAAAAATATAGACATAAAATTTGTCAAGAATTAACACTAATTAGAGAAAGATTTAAAAAGGATAGCACGTTTTCAGACACATAAATCTATTTCCAAAGATATATCTTTTTTGGAATTTTAATCTACACCATTGTTATTAAACTACAACATTATTTTTAAAAAAATAATTTTTCTAAATATTATACTCAATGTAAAAATAAATTACAACCTAACCAACTAGCAGTAAGGGCCATTAAAAAATAAAGAAAGTACAGGTCAAGTAAATGACATTTAGGGCTTGACCTGGCCAAAATTATCATATCGATTGTCATTCCCCAGCCATCGTCACCCCCCCCAATTAATTGCATTATTATTTGCACTTATTTATTATTGCATTATTATATTGCACTTATTTAAGATTCACCTTGTATACGTCAAAATATATTTTTAATATTTTCTTTTGTTTGTTTACTTTGTTTGTTTACTTTACCTTTGTCTACAAATTCTAAAAATTTTTGACAATAAAGGCATTTATTTAATAGCCTAGTTCTACCAAAATGTATGTAGGGGTGGGGTAGTATTAGAGGTGTATAGTTCATGAACGAACTAGTTCCAATGAGCTATTCCGACTACGGAATGAAAGGAATTAGTTCCCCAGGACCTATTCCGGGATCGAGACTGTGACCGATATATTATAATATGCGACGGCGACGGATCGGCCAGTGCCATCGTAGTCCCGGGTGTTGTTCCTACCAGCACAATTGTGCTGAAATCAGCACATTTGCAATTTTTGCTGCACAATTAAAGCCAATATCAGCACAATATTGCTAAAGCAAAAACTCATTAATTTTTAAAATTGTGTTGGTTTCGACCCCGCCGCCAGATGGCCCATGCAGATGGCCCATGCTCCGGGCAGTGGCAACAATGTAACGAAAATCGAAACTGGCATATGATAAATGTCATCTGTCTGAAGTGTCAATACTGTCAATAGTGTCAATTGTCTTGTCATTCGTCAATTCAAATTCAATAATTTTGAATATTTTGATGTTTTCAATTTCAACAGAGACAAATTTCAATATTTTCTTTTCATTTGACTATTTTTATTTTAGAACTTTGGTTTGGTTTGGTTTTGGGTTAGTACTAAAAAAATTAGTTTTGGTTTTGAGTTAGTATTTAGCCATGCAGTACCTAGGTGCTGGGTTTTATTTCGGTTTCTTCTAAGGTGGAGGTGGCTAGAGTATGGACAAGTAAACAGTAATAATATAGTACAGTTTACATTACCACTCATCTATATAGACTGGGGGTAGCAAGGCGGCTGCGGCTTCAAGATTTTGGAATAAAGTGCCTGAGAAAGCCCACTATGTTGGAGCGAAACGTCGCATAAAAAAAAAGTTTCCATTTTCAATTAATAAAAAAAAACCTCATACCCAAGAAAAAGAAAAAAAATATATGGATAAAGTAATAATATAATTATGCATAGATATCCCTATAAGACCATCTTTTTAGGCGGTTAATTAAATCGTCTAGTTCCAGTACTGGTACTGATAATACCCAAACTCCCGTGACGGAAAAAAGAAAACCTGAAACCTCTGAAACTGAAGAAGAACCTGGAAAAAGCAACTATATAATAAATTTTAATTTTAAATTTCCCGCGTCAGCACAATTTAACCTAAAAACTGCACAATGAAATGGCTGGT